AGCTAATTTTGAACCCTTTATTCAGCTGTATTTGGCAGAACAAATGCAGGTTCAGTGAGAGATAGAGAGAGGCTGACTAAAGTACCTTTTGTGAGATCAAAGGCATCAGCTTTAGACATCTGAAATGAGACAATAATTTTGTTAGAGCTAAGTTTGTTTTGCTGTACTGTGTGGAAAAATCAACCTTTAACTCAGCTGGTAAAAACTGGAAATACATTGTAGGCTCTCATATCAGTCTCTTTTTTTCCAGCAGCAGCACTTCTTTGATGATGAGGACAGAACAGTTCCAAGCACACCAACTCTTGTAGTTCCACATCGAACAGATGGATTTGCAGAAGCTATTCAGTAAGTAGATGTGAGAAGAAAAAGGGAAAAAAAAGGCTTTTCTCTGTTCTTTATTGTATTTCTTTCTATTTTTCAGTGAAATGAAAATAAATTTAAATTAAATGAACTTGTGATTGAAGTAACATGCTAGGTAGTAGTATAGATAACTGCATGTGCAGATGAGTAGTTATTGTTTGAATTGTATGTCATATAACTGATCAGCAGATTAGGAATTGAATAGTCTCCCATGTATTGTAACCTAGTGATTCAAGAAGAGATGAAACAAACAAAAAATTTATATCCAATTTCCTTCCTTGTTCGTCCTCCCTCCCTATTAATATTGCCAATGAAAGTAGGAAAATTTATCTCAATTTTTGCTTTTGGGATGTTCTGGATATGTCCAGCAATCCACTTAAAATTGTGAGAGTTCATAGAATGTGTAAGTAAAGAATATTCTCTTCAGGACTGTTGTACTGATTTTGAAGGCCTTCCTAATAATTTGAGAAGCTAATTGATGTTTATTTAGCAGTAGCGCAGATGACTTTTATGGTCAATATTAGCTCATTTTGTCTCATGCTTGATTTGTTCTCTTGGTTAGAAAGTTCTCCCCCACCAGAAAGTTCTTCCCCCAATCTCTGGGGAAGTTGCAGAATTCCTTAAGTTTGTATTTTGCCAGTTCCCCACAGGTAGCTGGAGTTCCTCGGTTCAGATTTGGGCCCCCTGAAGATATGCCACAAACCAGCTCGAGTCATTCTGATCTTGGGCAGCTGGCATCACAAGGAGGTAAAGCAGTTCTGGGCTCTCTTGTCCGTGGGTCTTTGAGTGAAAAAGAGAGAATTCAGTAACAAAACACAATTCTTCACATAATGCTTCAGGAAATTGTTGAAGTGTGGAAACCTGTAACTCTTAAATAATTGTCAGCAGAGAGAGAATAACAGAAAGTGAGAAGGTGTTACCTTCAAGCTGCTACATTTATAGTTGTGTTAGGATTTTGAAATTGAATAAAATATTGAAGGAATGGTTTTTAATGTCAGTTTTACTATTGGTTGTAGCTTCCCTGTAGTGAAACAATAGGGGAAAACATCAAATGCAAAGAAATCTTTGGGCTATATTCTTACCTGTTTAGAGAGAGCCAGGCTGTTGTTGTTGGTCTCAATCTGTCCCTTTCCTGGCATCCCTGTTGGCATGGAACACAGGCTGTTCTCTGAGGAAAGCTCACAGCAAAATAATGGCATAAGGCAAGGATGAAAGTTAAAAAAACAAGTAGTAATATTTTCATCAAGGTTTTACCTTCCAATAAATTATGATCAGCTTTGGCAGTAAATCAAAACAAAATAACAAAAATCTGCTTAAATACAAGTGTCTGGATTTTATCAAGTGGCCAGAGGGAAGACATTGGTTAATCCTTTTTTAGGCACCCATTTGGATGGATTGTTACTGGAACTTTGTGTTGCAGGTTTAGGGATGTATGAAACCCCACTATTCCTTGCCCACGAGGAAGAGTCAGGGGGTCGTAGTGTCCCCACAACACCGTTACAAGTGGCAGCACCAGGTAAGTGGCAGAGGCTTGCAGAACAAAGCAGGGAATGATTCCCTGTGGTCGGTGCAGCGCTGCCGCTCCTCAGGAGCGCTGGGCAGCCTGTCCCCGGGCTGCCTGTGCTGTCCCAGGGCTCTGTGGGCAGGGCCTGAGCTGTCTGTGCTCCCCAGTGACCGTGTTCACGGAGAGCGCCTCGGCCGACGCCTCGGAGCACGCGTCGCAGTCCGTGCCCATGGTCACCACCTCCACCGGCAGCCTGTCCACCACCACCGAGCCCGGCGCCGGCGACGACGCCGACGAGGTCTTCGCAGAGGCAGAGTCTGAAGGGTAAAGCACCGCTGCTTTGGTTCGCTGGCAGTGCTGACACGTCCACCACTGTCACCCAGGGGCAGCTCAGACAGCGTTCTGTAGTGCTGTGAGGCAGGACAGTCTGACTCTTCATCCAAAACCAATGGTTTTCTGCTGATCTTCTCCTGGGGGCTTAACAAAGTTAATATAAAAGTCACCAAAAAAAAAAAAATTTAAGAATGCAGAGGACTCTGCAATAATCAAATATTGATGTTAAAGGCACAGGTTGAAGGATCAGTTTGTAGAATAAAGATTAAGGCGTTCCTGTGTAATACAGAAAATCATTCCTCATGCAAAGCAGACATGTCGCTCTTGAGTTAGGGATGGATGAAATGACTCTGTGGTGTTCAGAAGGCTTAAAGAACGTTTATTAAGAAGTAGCGAGTCTCTTTTATAGTGTGACTCGCTAAGGTGAAATATGATTGGTCTCAAAGTAAAAACCTTTCACACTATTGGTGCACTATGAATAGTATGCTGTGGTAGAACATATCTATAAGCAACATGAACAGAAAGAGAGATAATAATTGTTTGAATTCTTTCTCCTAACTTTTCCGGGCCGAAGTCTGAGAGAATTCTCTCTGTTCTCTCTTCGACTGAGCTGAGAGCCTCCACACACATATATGATTAAGTCACCTAGTTAAGACAGTGCATGTACAAAAGATGAAGCATGGGGCTGGAATAAGCAGTTCTTAGTGAATTTTGTAGACAAGTGCACTTTACAAGTGCAACTTTTAATATTTATAATAATTGCTATATTTTGTATTATGATGAAGTAAAGATCAAAAAGGGGACAGTTTATCATTTTATGCTATATTTTACTTTTGATTTTCATTGAATCTTTGTGTTCCAAGAGAGGGTTTTTTTCCTCTGGATCTTTTTGAAGCTATGCAAGTATACTTACATGGTTTTCCTCCTCCACCTTCCCTTCTAGCATTACTTCAGAAGCAGGTCTAGAAATTGATAGCCAGCAAGAAGAAGAATCTGTTCAAGCATCTGATGAGTCAGATCTTCCTTCAACTAGTCAGGATCCTCCTTCAAGTTCATCTGCAGGTACAGGATAATCATAATAATAGTTCATACCTTTTCATTAGGAGTGGGAATTCTTTTGTCCAGCGTTGTGGCTGGTAGCCAGGTTCCACAAAATAAGATAGAACTCTTAGAATCACAGACTCATAGAATGGTTTGGGGTGGAGGGGATCATGAAGCCCATCCAGTGCCACCCCTGCCATGGGCAGGGACACCTTCTACTTGCCCAGGTTCCAACCTGGCCTTGGGCACTTCCAGAGGCAGCCACAGCTTCTCTGGACACCCTGTACCAGGGCCTTACCACTTGGAACAATTCTTTCCCAGTATCCCATCCGACCCTGCCCTCTGGCAGTGGGAAGCCATTCCCTCTTGTCCTGGCCCTTGTCCCAAGTCCCTCTCCAGCTCTCCTGAGCCCCTTTAGTCACTGGAAGGGGCTCTAAGGTCTCCCTAGATTCTCTTAGAGCAAGATAATATTTTGATGCTTATAGATTCTTTGGTACTTTGGTAAAGCATTTTTCCTTGAACCGCAGTAACTGGAGTAGGCCAAGGAAAAATAACATTTGAAGGAACAATCGTTACTGATACTTTGGTGATTTATCCTTTAGCATATTTGATGTCAGCTTTAAAATAATTTTAATTAAATTGTGAAACAACAGACACGAGCAGCACTCAGCCCAAGTCCCTGCGCCGTGTCCGGCTGCAGCCCCCGACGCTGAGGACGGGCGTGCGTGGCCGGCAGTTCAACAGACAGAGGGGTAAGTGCTGCTGGCTGCTCCCAGCCAGGCTGGCCTTGCTGGCACACAGGGAGAGAGTGGCACAGCAGTTTGCTGTGTGATCCTAAGAGCTCCAACTTGGGTTTAGTGTGTTAGGCTGAGCAGGTTTCGGACAGGCAAAATTCCTTCTGTAGTGGCACCTGGCTCTTATCAGTAGAGAGAATGTAAAGGGCATTAGATCTTCAAAGTTTTAAAGGAAAGTTCCAGAAGTCTGATAGCACAGCAGTTTAGAAACTTCTGGTTTTGGCATTAGAGGAATTTCCATTTGGTACATTAAGGATTCCAGTTATATCAATGTGTACTCATTGAAAAAAGCTTTATTGGAAGTATTACAGGTTTTTCAGGGTAATAGAGTTAAACATGGCAAGAAATTAGTTTTGCAACTTCTGTATTAAGAAAAAGCTTTTGATGGGTTTTTATTCTGTTTTGCATTATTTTAACATTGTAGAAGACTCAACATTAGCAGGTATTTTAAGGGGAAAACATAACAAGGTGGGGCTAGGATAGACTTTCTTCCATCTGTCACCATTTTTTAAAATAACCATAAGGAGGGACTAACTGATTTTAGATGTGGTAATAATCCTCTGCTCCTTGGTTTGGCTCAGGATCACAAGTCACCTCCAGCCTTCTGCATGACACAGGTGACATGTACATGTGTCACCAGGCTTAGGGGGAGAGAGGGGGAACTTGAACTGTATCAGAAAGGAACCACTCCACTGCCTTGATAATTCCTTAGGGAAGGATGAAATATCACCTCTGCAATGGTTGATTAAAAGAGTAAGAAGGGTTCATACTAATGCACTTGTTTTCTTCCCCTGCACAGGTGTAACTCACGCCATGGGAGGCAGAGGAGGCCTGAACAGAGGAAACATCAGTTAAATGGAATGTAAAGGACTTCCAGCTGTGTATACAAAATGCCAGTTTGCCTGTGGTTGCTTAGTGTCATGAAGCCAGAGCTTGAAGCAGCATTTCAATACTTAGAGTTGTGTGCACATATTTCAATGTCTTTTATTAATAAAATTAGAAAAAACGTTGACATCCAAATGGCATCTTATTTTAAACTCCTCTGCTGTGCATCACTTGCTGGGACAGTTGTACCAGTCTTTGGATACAGTCTTTCCTGTGAGAGCAGTAACAGGCCGTGCTATTCTTTTGCCAATATCCAAACTGTAGTACCGATCTGAAAGGAAGAGAGGTCAGGATTAAATTCCAGAAACTACATGTAATACATGGGAAGAATTCACAAATTCAAGCCTGCATTTTACTGTCACTTAGGCCTGAATAACACTGTATCACTGTTCCATGTACATATAGGGAGCTGAGAGGCTCCAACAATAAATTTCTGTCCTCAGCTTTATTTCTCAGGTGTCCTTGGCTGCAGAAAGTTTTATGTCATTGCTAATAATTAAATCTGTCCCAAGAGCAGGAGCAGGGAAGAATGTTCTTGTATTGCTAGAACACAAAAATAGTCTTAAGAATTTGGAATTCAAATTAACAACATCCACAACAATCCTGCACTCACTACAGAAGTGGGAAGTTCATGGACCCTGAGTGTAAATGGGCCTGCAAGGCTGATTCCTCCAAGGTGAGGAGTTGGATCCCACTGACAGGGACTTTAATAGCCTGTATTTGGGTATGGCTTGTTCTTTGAGCTTCTTTGTTTTTTGAAAAATGCAGAAAATTCTGAGGAATGCTTATTTGGAATCCTGGCTGGGGGAATGAGTCTACCTAATCTAGGATCATAAATAATTTTTTTGAGCAAAGTCAAGTGGTTCATCTCCCTCATTTTTGTGTTTTGTCAGAAGCATAGTAAAATCAATTGAAAAACTTGCTCTGTTGTGATCCAAAGACTTCAGTCTATTGTTAACATAATCCTTCATTTAAGGTTTGTCCCTTTAAAAGGCTGAACTCCCTGGCAATGCATTCCCCAACTGGCTACTTTGAACTTCTGTACTTCATTGCTGCACGTTGTCCTGCAACTACTGATTTTTAATAGAAACATTTCTTGATTATAGGCAACATTTTAATTCTCAGGACTTTTTAGTAGTGCTGAAAGCAGTACCACAAGTGATAACCAGAGCTGCTTTCTTCCCCACACCTGTATGTTTTGAGGTCTATAGTAATGTGCTTTAGTTTTACTTACTGTAAGAGAAGGCGTAGTAGTCGTAGCCATCAGGCTTGTTCTGGTTGGGCACAGAGAGAGTTGAGTGGACAACTTTGGGGAGCCCTCTCCAGTACGTTGTCATTTGGATTTCCTTGCGCAGAACTCCTGCAAGCAGAAGGAACCCTGTGAGGAGCTGTGGCACTGCTGCAGCTGCCGCGGGGCTGTGTCACCTACAGCCATTAAAACCTTCCAAACACAGTGTTGTGTCAGAGGTGAAAACGTCTAAGGGAACCTTGGTGCCCACATTACCAGAGGGGTGGGAGTTGATCCTGACAGTGCGGATGACGGTCGGCATTTGCACAGCACGCTGGAAGCGCCGCCGGATGACAACTCTGGGGACAAAGGCTGGGTATCTGATGGTGACCCGGGCTCTTCTTTGACACTTCTTGGCTGGTTCTTGTCTGTACACATACTGCTGCATGTTCCCATCTAAAACACATTTGTTTTGGTAGTTAAAAAAAAAAATCAATCCCCCCCCAATAAAACACCCAACTACCATCTTGATCAGGTATGAAAGTGTCATTATATTCCTATCACACACAGGGAATCAATAACAACATTCTTGTGGTGGTAGTACAGCATTCATGTAAGATAAGGAAATTACTTTAAAATAGGAAATCAGAAATAGATATGGAAATTTCCACACATTGTTATGAACCAGCAAGATTAAAGCCTTCCCTTCTCTAATTAACTTGAGACTAAAATAGCTTTACCACCAGATAGAACTTATTTAAATGTTTAGCCACTAGAGTGCTGGATTCCTGAATTTTCACCCTTACACAGCTGGTTTAAAATGCACCGAAAGACCTCCAGGTTCTAATACAATTTCTTTTAAAGCTTCAGGCTATTTCTGAGCACCTGGAACACTGGCATAATTTGTGTTTCTGTATTTGAAAGAAATAGGTCTTGGGTCAAGAGAAGTGGTGTTTCATTCCTGCCCAAGGCAATTCAAGCGCCTTTTAATGTTCCCTGAGCTTCAGGAATACAAGACATACCTCTTTTGATAAAATAAACGGATTCGGGTCTGTTGTTGTATCTTGCCACAGGGAGGGTTGCTACTATTCTCCCATTTAACCCTGCAAATCCAGTTGCAAGAGGTTTGGGGTAGCCATTATCCATAACACCATTAGTGAAGCGCCAGTACAGGGGACCCTGAGCATTTAAGGGAAAAAAAATAAAAAGAGCTTTAGAGGAAGTTAATTCCTGGTTATTCAATTGCAAAACAAACATGAAGAATAATCCATAAATAAGCACTAGCACTTTGATAGCTACATTGTAAATCTGACTGGAATCACTCCTACATCCATTACAAATAGGATAAAATTGCTACAACTTCATTAAGTACCTCCTGCAGGCTTTTAACCTTTGAGTAGGGCTAGAGAATCTTAGAAGCTAATTTTTAAAAGGAGTTACTGAAAAGGGGGTTTCCTTTCTAAATCTCTTAAATTTTCACAGATATAACAAGCAGCTTGGATTCCACGACTGAGTGATTTATTGGGAAGTGACTGCATAACAGCCTTAATGAGGTGTGCGCATTCCATTAGCATTTTATTTCAGGTTGGGAAACATACTAGGAATAAGTTTAGGCAATCTTTTTCCCCAATATCCAGTCTGAACCTCCTCTGGTGCAACCTAAGGCCCTTTCTTCTCATCGTGCTATTGTTGCTTGGGAGCAGAGCCCGACTCTCCCCGGCTGTCCCCTCCTGTCAGGAGCTGTACAGAGCCACAAAGTCCCCCCGAGCCTCCCCAGCTGCTCCTCATCAGCCTCGCCCCATCCTGCCGGCCCTGACCACTCCCACCTTGATGAAGAAGATTTTCCCATCGCAGTTGCACCTGGAGAAGACGGAGTCGATGGGCGAGGGGATGCCCCAGCCGTCGGTGATCCGGCGGGGGTTGGTGGTCGGCGGGGTCCGGCCGTTCAGCAGCCAGTAATAGTGACCTGGGGGAAACAGGCGTGAGGGGACAGCGCGGGGACAGCGCGTCCTGTCCTGGGGACAGTGAGGAGATAACGCAGTCCTGCTCCGCGGACGCGGCTGAGCGGCTCCATGAGGGATCTGCGGGGCGGGCTCTGGGCTCGGGAGGGTTTCGTGGAGGGTGAGGGGCACCGGGGCGAGTGAGGGAGGAAAAAGAGGAGGAAGAGCGGCGGGGCAGGTGAAGGAGGAGGAGGTGACGGTGAAGGAGGATTGGGCCCGGGATTGGGTCCGGGAAAGGTGAGGGAGGAGGATTGGGCCCGGGAAAGGTGAGGGAGGAGGATTGGGCCCGGGAAAGGTGAGGGAGGAGGAGGAGGCTGGGGCAGGTGAGGGAGGAGGATTGGGTCTGGAAAAGGTGAGGGAGGAGGATTGGGGCTGGGAAAGGTGAGGGAGGAGGAGGAGGAGGAGGCTGGGGCAGGTGAGGAAGGAGCTCCGGCGCTGTGTGGGGGCAGGAGGAGGGCTGGGAGCGGAGCCAGAGCCGGGCAGGTGGAGGAGGAACGGGGCCGTGCCGGGGCAGGTGGAGGAGGAACGGGGCCGTGCCGGGGCAGGTGGAGGAGGAACGGGGCCGTGCCGGGGCAGGTGGAAGAGGAACGGGGCCGTGCCGGGGCAGGTGGAAGAGGAACGGGGCCGTGCCGGGACAGGTGGAAGAGGATCGGGGCCGTGCCGGGGCAGGTGGAAGAGGATCGGGGCCGTGCCGGGGCAGGTGGAGGATGTTCGGAGCAGTCTCACCTCGGAAGACGGCCAGGGTGCCATTGGGCAGGGCCACCATGCCGTCCGCTGGCTTGCCGCTGCACAGGTCCTTCTCGTCGTTCTTCCCTGCAAAACACAGCCAGGTGGGTTTGTTTAAGGTTCTACAGGAACGGCCTGAGCTTCCCTCTCGGCCCTGCCGCTGGGCCAGGGATTAATTCCTCCTCGGGGACGTGCTCTTGGAAAGTTCGGCTCTGGTGCTGTGGCCCCAGCAGTGCCGAGTGAGCAGGTGTGGGTGTCTTTGCTTATTGCCACCTAAGTACCTGTAATTCAGTAAAATACCTACAAACACCTCATCTGCTACATGCTCTAGGATTTTATTGTTCTTTTAAGCTGCTTTAGTGGCTTCTCTTCCCTTGCATTATTTCTTAAAAAATAAACATTCCTTTAAATATAAAGGATTAATCTCTTTTAGACTGAAATGCAAGTATTTTGCATGTAAACTCCTTGTTTTTCCCCAAAAAATATATTTCATTATCTGAATGAAAAATTACTCAAGAACCTGCAGGCTATGACTGATTAAAATAAAGAGAGGGCATGAAAAAGGCTGTGGTAAAAAGCAAGGCAAGAGACTTCTTGTCTTTTTTATATGACATTTTTAGTAGGTGGCTACAAAACACTAGGTTAGGTACCATGAGGGAGGGTGGATATGCAGCCTGACTTCCAGCAATTTTTTCATGGGATTTAGAAATTGATCATCTTTTTCCTTAATTTATTTGTCTGTTTGCATTTTCTACAATAGCAAACAGGAAGAGGAGAAACTTATAGCGAACAATTTTCAGAAGGACCAGTTACTGAAACCAATTTAGATCATGTTCTAAACCACCTGGAGGATTTAATTAACTCCACAGCTGAGAACTGAGGTTCCAATATTCAGGATACTGGCAGCTGTGGTTGTGGCTTCCCATGGGACACTGCCATGCTTCCTAGAGTTGCTGATGCTTTAGTACCTGCTGGAATGCACTTACCCTGTGTTTCTCCAGGGAACATTGGCAGGTCCCCGACTTGTATTAAAGGCTTGTTTATCTCAGGCTCTTCTTTTGCTGGCAGAGTTTCAGGTTCAGTGGGGTGAGGCTCTTCTGTGGCCTCAGTGATCTCCTGGAAATGTATTGTTGGCTTGGATGTCCCATTGGACACAAGATACATTTCTTCTATTGTGTCCTTTTTATCCCTTGTTGTGGTTTCTTTGGTAACTGTAGTTACCTCTTCTTTGGCAATACCAGGGGCCTTTTCAGTGACATCACCCGTTGCTTTTTCAGGTGTGGTGCCCATTTCTTTAATGGTTGTTACCTCTTTTTTACCAGCTGTTGTCATCTCCACAATAATGCAAGTAGCACCTGGGTTCCCTTTGTCTGCTGCTGGGCCAGCCTGCTCAGTGTCTGTAGTTGTCTCTTTTGCATTTGGTGTTGCAGCATCACCCGGCTGAGGAGTTGAATCTTCTTTGATGGTTGTTACCAGCACAGTTGGATTGGGCAAGGGACCTGTGGCTGCTGTTGTTGCAGTCTTGGTGTCTGTAGAAGTTATTTCAGCTGCTGCAGTGACAGGTTCCTTGGCCATTGGAGCTATGTTTGGAATGTCATCCATACCTTTAGGAGAATCACCTGGTTTAGCTGTTGTCACCATAGCTACAGTAACCGTGTCTTTCCCAGTTGCAGCTGTGAAAAGGTCTTTAAGCAGAGTAGTTCTGTCTTTCTTTGGTGTTGTTGTCTCCTTGTTCTCCATTGTGGTATCTGAAAGCATCGTGCCTGCCCCAAGTGTGGGGGAGTCCTTCCCAACTGTTGTGGGTGCAACATTGCCTGGAGCAGCTGTGGCTTTACTGGTAGTGGTACTGGCATCAGGGATGGTTGGAGAGTCAGCATCTTCTGCTTTAGGGGTGGTGGGAGAGTCTGCCTTGGTTGTACTTTCTTCTGAGGTTGTTGCTTCAGGTTTAGAGGTAGTGGGAGAGTCTGCCTGGGTTGTAGGTTCTTCTGGGGTTGTCTCTTCAGCTTTGGGGGTGGTGGTAGGAGAGTCTGCCTTGGTTGTTGGCTCCTCTGGGGTTGTCTCCTCTATTTTAGGGGTTGTTGGCTCCTCTGGGGTTGTCTCTTCAGGTTTGGGAGTTGTTGCCTCCTCTGATGTCTCTTCAGGTTTTAGGGTGGTTGGAGAGTCAGCCAAGGTTGTCAATTCCTCTGGTGTTGTCTCTTTGGGTTTGGGGGTTGTTGGCTTCTCTGGTGTGGGAGTTGTCACCTCCTCTGGGGTTGTCTCTTCTGGAGTGGGAGTTGTTGGCTCCTCTGGGGTTGTCTCTTCGGGTTTGGGAGTTGTTGCCTCCTCCAAGGTCGTCTCTTCAGTTTTCAGGGTGGTGGGAGAGTCAGCCAAGGTTGTTGGCTCCTCTGGGTTTGTCTCCTCTGGTATAGGAGTTTTTGGCTCCTCTGGTGTTGGTGTTGATGTCTCCTCTAGTGTGGGTGTTGTCACCTCCTCTGGTGTAGGCGTTGTCACCTCCTCTGGGGTTGTCTCTTCTGGTTTAGGGGTTGTCAGCTCTTCAGGGGTGGTCTCCTTTGGTGTTGCGGTTGTTGGTTCCTCTGGTGTTGGTGTTGTCGGCTCCTCTGGGGTTGTCTCCTCTGGTGTTGGGGTTGTTGGCTCCTCTGGGGTTGTCTCCTCTGGGGTTGGGGTTGTCTCCTCTGGTGCTGGGGTTGTTGGCTCCTCTGGGGTTGTCTCCTCTGGTGTTGGGGTTGTTGGCTCCTCTGGGGTTGTCTCTTCTGGTGTTGGGGTTGTTGGCTCCTCTGGGGTTGTCTCCTCTGTTGTTGGGGTTGTTGGCTCCTCTGGGGTTGTCTCCTCTGGTGTTGGGGTTTTTGGCTCCTCTGGGGTTGTCTCTTCTGGTGTTGGGGTTGTTGGCTCCTCTGGGGTTGTCTCCTCTGGTGTTGGAGTTGTTGGCTCCTCTGGGGTTGTCTCTTCTGGTGTTGGGGTTGTTGGTTCCTCTGGGGTTGTCTCTTCTGGTGTTGGGGTTGTCTCTTCTGGTGTTGGGGTTGTTGGCTCCTCTGGGGTTGTCTCCTCTGGCGTTGGGGTTGTCTCCTCTGGCGTTGGGGTTGTTGGCTCCTCTGGGGTTGTCTCTTCAGGTTTGGGAGTTGTTGGCTCCTCTGGGGTTGTCTCTTCAGGAGTAGGAGTTGTTGGCTCCTCTGGGGTTGTCTCTTCTGGTGTTGGGGTTGTTGGCTCCTCTGGGGTTGTCTCCTCTGTTGTTGGGGTTGTTGGCTCCTCTGGGGTTGTCTCCTCTGGTGTTGGGGTTGTTGGCTCCTCTGGGGTTGTTTCTTCAGGAGTGGGAGTTGTTGGCTCCTCTGGGGTTGTCTCCTCTGGTGTTGGGGTTGTTGGCTCCTCTGGGGTTGTCTCCTCTGGTGTTGGGGTTGTTGGCTCCTCTGGGGTTGTCTCTTCAGGAGTGGGAGTTGTTGGCTCCTCTGGGGTTGTTGGCTCCTCTGGTGTTGGGGTTGTTGGCTCCTCTGGGGTTGGAGTTGTTGTCTCCTCTGGTGTTGGGGTTGTCTCCTCTGGTGTTGGGGTTGTTGTCTCCTCTGGGGTTGTCTCCTCTGGCGTTGGGGTTGTCTCCTCTGGCGTTGGGGTTGTCTCCTCTGGCGTTGGGGTTGTCTCCTCTGGCGTTGGGGTTGTTGGCTCCTCTGGGGTTGTCTCTTCAGGAGTGGGAGTTGTTGGCTCCTCTGGGGTTGTCTCTTCAGGAGTGGGAGTTGTTGGCTCCTCTGGGGTTGTCTCCTCTGGCGTTGGGGTTGTCTCCTCTGGCGTTGGGGTTGTCTCCTCTGGCGTTGGGGTTGTCTCCTCTGGCGTTGGGGTTGTCTCCTCTGGCGTTGGGGTTGTCTCCTCTGGCGTTGGGGTTGTCTCCTCTGGCGTTGGGGTTGTTGGCTCCTCTGGGGTTGTCTCTTCAGGAGTGGGAGTTGTTGGCTCCTCTGGGGTTGTCTCCTCTGGTGTTGGGGTTGTCTCCTCTGGTGTTGGGGTTGTCTCCTCTGGTGTTGGGGTTGTCTCCTCTGGTGTTGGAGTTGTCTCCTCTGGTGTTGGGGTTGTTGGCTCCTCTGGGGTTGTCTCCTCTGGTGTTGGGGTTGTCTCCTCTGGTGTTGGGGTTGTCTCCTCTGGTGTTGGGGTTGTCTCCTCTGGTGTTGGGGTTGTCTCCTCTGGTGGTGGTGTTGTTGGCTCCTCTGGGGTTGTCTCTTCAGGAGTGGGAGTTGTTGGCTCCTCTGGGGTTGTCTCCTCTGGCGTTGGGGTTGTCTCCTCTGGCGTTGGGGTTGTCTCCTCTGGCGTTGGGGTTGTCTCCTCTGGCGTTGGGGTTGTTGGCTCCTCTGGGGTTGTCTCTTCAGGAGTGGGAGTTGTTGGCTCCTCTGGGGTTGTCTCCTCTGGTGTTGGGGTTGTCTCCTCTGGTGTTGGGGTTGTCTCCTCTGGTGTTGGGGTTGTCTCCTCTGGTGTTGGGGTTGTTGGCTCCTCTGGGGTTGTCTCCTCTGGTGTTGGGGTTGTCTCCTCTGGTGTTGGGGTTGTCTCCTCTGGTGTTGGGGTTGTCTCCTCTGGTGGTGGTGTTGTTGGCTCCTCTGGGGTTGTCTCTTCAGGAGTGGGAGTTGTTGGCTCCTCTGGGGTTGTCTCCTCTGGCGTTGGGGTTGTCTCCTCTGGCGTTGGGGTTGTCTCCTCTGGCGTTGGGGTTGTCTCCTCTGGCGTTGGGGTTGTCTCCTCTGGCGTTGGGGTTGTCTCCTCTGGCGTTGGGGTTGTCTCCTCTGGCGTTGGGGTTGTCTCCTCTGGCGTTGGGGTTGTCTCCTCTGGCGTTGGAGTTGTCTCCTCTGGTGTTGGGGTTGTTGGCTCCTCTGGGGTTGTCTCCTCTGGTGTTGGGGTTGTCTCCTCTGGTGGTGGTGTTGTTGGCTCCTCTGGGGTTGTCTCTTCAGTTGTGGGGCTGGTGGGAGGCTCGGTGTCGGTTGCTGGTTCCTCGGAGGCGTCAGGCGTTGGGTCTAGTGTTGGGAGTAAGTCAGTTGGGTCCACTTCAGTCAGTGGCTCCTCTGTGGCATCAGGGGTCACATCTTCTGGTGTATCCGGAGTAGGAGGGTCGGCTTCGGTTGCTGGTTCCTCTGTGGCCTCTGGGGTTGTCTGTGCAGGTTCTGTAGTTGGAGCAGGAGTGGTCACTTGGATTTCAGGATCTACAGAACAAATACAAATTCAGTTCGGCCATTGAAATGCCATGTGGATAGGTATTGCCTATAAATGTATTACACCCATTAGCTGTAGGTGCCTCCTTTGGAATACCAAGACCTTTTTTAACACCCAAACAAACCTGGATCTGGTAAAATGGGAGTTCCTTTTGTCTGCATGGGACTTTGCAGCAGCTCAGCTAATTTTTTGTTGATCTCTTTTGGCCAACCTGGCACTGCTCCAGGTTCAGGGTTTAGTTTGGTGCTTGTAGGTGCAGCTGCCTGGTGTTTCCTACTGCTTTCATAGAAAGGAAGCCCCTTTATAAAAATAGTATTTATAATAGAACACTTCCCTTCTCAGTCTGTCATTTTGATTTTTAAAACTGCCCTACATTGTAACTTAGTCTGCACCAACAACCTGGAATTCGCAGAGTGAGGTAGGGAAGCAGGAGGAAAATAATTCCTGAACACAGAGCCCTGACTGCATCTCCTGCTGTATCTTTGTTCCTTGGGTTGTTTTCCTCATTGTGATGTATGAATTTAAGGCTCTCTTTGCTTGTATTTATAGTTACATTGATAGGAGTCAAACTTATTCAGCAAGAACAGTAAATGCTCCTGCATTTCAATCTCGCCCTAAGTATTGTCGCTCTAAGATTGTGCAGATTAGTTCTGTTTTCACAAATGTGTGTTTAGTATGAGCAGAGTTTTTTGGGGTTTTTTTTTGGTTTTGGTTGTGGTTTTTTTGGTTTGTTGTTTTTTTGTTGTTGTTTTTTTTTTTTCTTGTAATAGGAAATTAGAACAGCAGAAAATAAGTACTCCAAATCTAAAACAAATTTCAATTGTGTTTCAAGTTCAAACTGGTCTCCTGAGTTATCACTTCAAATGCTGGAACACAGTACCAAAGAACACAGGAAAGCAGCATATTTTCCAGTCAGAATAAATAAATAAATGTGTTGTCTGAAGCAGCATAAGGCCTGGCTTGATTGAAGCTAGAGGAATCTGCTAGGACATTTTCCTGTGGTGCCAGTTCATCACTGTCCCACCCTTCCTGTTCCAGCCATGGACGCTGTCCAAGACTGACAATGGTCTGTACCCTGTTTTTGGAGGAAGTGTGTGAAAATCCAATAGAGACACAGGCGACATCACCACCCTGCACCATCTGTGCTGGGTGAACTCTCCAAAGTCCTGAGGGCTCAGTGAGGTAATCAGTTTATACACCAAGTGCATCCAAGCTTGGTAAATGTCTGGTAATGTCTAGAATCAACTTTCTATTTCCAGAGTAGGAAAATCGTCTTTATTTTTCATTCAGGTAACACCCATCCTGGTGCATCCATATATTGCCTACCTTCCACAGCTTCCTCTGGTGACTCTTCCTCATCAGTGGAGGACCTTTTAGATGTTGATTTGTTTTCTGGAGGAGTCTCTGGGGTTGGCTTTTCTGTGTGTGCTGAAAGACAAAAGTGCTCCCATTAACAGATTATTTTGTCTTTATAGTTGCTTGGCGTCAACCGTATAAGAGTGATTACAAAATTTCAGTGACCATCTTCCATTTAAAACTAAGTAATTTACAGGATTCTTTACACAATTATCTGTGTGAAAAAGAGCAAAAATACCCTTTTGATCCTGAAGGGTTTCATCACAGATGGGAGCAATATTTTTCTCAGAAGTTTGAGGTGAGGCATTATTAGCTAATAGCAATTTTGAAGTGGGAAAAGAGATTAATTCTGAGTAGAGCTCTATGTTCTGAAAATTTATCATTTTTGTTTTCCGCTACAGATGACTTTTCACTACTTGACTTTCACTACAGACAACTAACTCTAATGGAAATAGGAGAACTGTTACATTAGCCAAGAGTTTATTTTGATAGTCCAATTGAAGTTCTTCAGACGTGATAATTCTTCACAAATGTTTTGGAGAGACATTTTAAAATAAATGTTTTCCTTGAAGGAGACAGGAGCTACAAAGCAGACATGGGCCAAGGAAACAACATGGGTATTAAGCTAACTTATAGTAGGCTGAGTTTTAGGAGAAATAGGTTGTGTTTAGATTTTTCAGCTCTGAAGAGTGGATGGAATTTCAGTTGCATCCAGTAAGAGCCAGATAACATTTTATAATTAATTGTTGGCCAAATTGTACAATTGGAAATGAGCTACTGGCATATCCTTTTATAGCCTTGTAGAAGGAACTTGTTAGTTGTGAAGGAAATGTGATGGAGCTCAGGGAACTGGCCAAATTATTTTGATCCAGCCAAAGGAGCTGGTAACTGCCAGAGGTGTGTGTAATCAGCTTTTTACAAAAGGAATGGGATTTTTGTCTCCAAGGGATGACCATGGTGTCAAAAGATTTACTTTCACAGTGAGCTAGTGCTCAAAGCCAGGAAGGTTGGGTATTGCAATATATCCTGAAACATTTATTGAGGATGAGAGAGAAATTGTTGTTGTTAAAGCTGAATGGCTCCTTTAAAAGCCAATTGTTTGGAAGGGGAACATTTGGTTATGTGTGTACATGTATTCAGGGATTAAAGAGCTTCTGGAGAACAGGAAAGATAACAGTGAGCTCTGGATATGCATTGTACACTTGGCTTTACTGTACAGAAAAAATTGTTCAGAGGATGATGAAACAACAAATTTATTCCAAGAAGTTTAACAGATTTCTTAGTTATTCACACATAGTATAAATAGTAAAATACTGAGTACAGTGGTTTGGGGATTTCTGCTGGACTTTTTGACAACAATTGATAGCAAAGCTTAGTACAATACAGAAGAAATTCTTTAAGAACTGTGGATTAATTCTTCATTATATTTTAACTGAAGAAGTGAAATGGTTTAACAGTGTTTTGTGAGTGTTTGGGTGTGATAAACTCAGCAGAAAGAGGGAAATATTAAGCAGCCTCATAAGCAGCAAATTCACCTCAATATGTTTCCAAGACACTTCTCTAGACATTCAGTCAAAAATGCTGAGTACAGACTCTATTTCAGTCTAAATTACTGTGCAGTTGTGTGGCAAAGCCAAGCCACTATCCCAGCACTTGGGGACCACTTAGGTGAAGAGAACCAAAGGATAATTGTGACTTATGTTGTGTGTCACACTGCAGGCTTTGGGAATTGGCTGCCTTGGAGGTGTGCTGCTCTGTGGATGCAGCAACCCCATGCCAAGCCACATTTGTCAAGTGTGTTGACAGAAATTAATTTAGGTCTGTAGGTACCAGAAAGTTTAAGGACATGATGAAATTAAACATATTCTGTTTTTGTTTTTTAGAGCTCATTTGCTGGTGTCCTTAAAGCTACATGAGGGCAGGACTGCACATCCAGATCTGTGCCTTTATGCTCAGCTGAAACCCCACCAGGCTCTGCAGAAAAGGACAGAACAAAATAAGTGACTGTAAGTCAGTTTGATTCTGCCCTGGACTGAACTTGCAGCCTAAAGGTAAAATGTGTGTTATCTTAAATTTTTCTTGCTACACTGTGAACATGTAACATCCAGTTCCTCCCTCCTGCCCCATGGGATGGGTTTCTGTGTTGGGCTGCTTTCCCCACATTGGATTTGAGACGGGGAGAATCTAGGATGTCTGTTTCTAATATGCTGCCAGTGACTGTGCAGCCAAGCAAGTGGTCTGGAGGTCCAGGTAGTGCTATCCCAAGGCACGGAGTAGCCATTCCCCACTTTTGGATGGGTGGGGATTTTTACTGCAATTCATTTATTCATCTCCCCAATGGAAAAGGCCCTGGGGGTGCTAGTGACAGTGGCTAAATGTGAGCCAGGTGGACTGGGGGTCAGTGGCCCCTGGGCTGTGCCAGCCCTGGTGTGGCACAGGCCCAGGGCAGTGGCTGTGCCCTGTGCTGGCCCTGCTGAGGGACCTCGAGTGCTGTTCCAGTTCTGGGCCCTCATGGCCAGACAGACCTGGAGGGGCTGGAGCGTGTCCAGGGCAGGGAACGGGGCTGGGGAAGGGGCTGGAGCACCAGGAGCGGCTGAGGGAGCTGGGAAGGGGCTCAGCCTGGAGAAAAGGAGGCTCGGGGGGACCTTGTGGCTCTGCACAGGATGGGACAGGTGGGGTGTTGGGCTCTGCTCCCAGGAACATGGAATAGGACTGGAGGAAACAACCCCTAGGAGCACCAGGGGAGGTTTAGGTTACCAGACTGCCCAGGGCAGAGGTGGCACCCCCATCCCTGGAGGGATTTAAAAGCTGTGTGAATGTGGCACTTGGGACATGTTTTAGTGATGGCCCTGGCAGTGCTGGGGGAATGGTTGGATACGATGATCTCAAAGATCTTTTCCAAACAAAACTGTTCTGATTCCCCAGCTTCTCTCATTGAACTCTATTACTGATTTGCAGACCTTATCTTTACACGTGGTATTCTGAGTAACCGCTCTGGCAGTTAGAGCATGGCTAGTTCCAAAACAGCCTAATGTAAAATACAACTTTAACCTCAGAATTCACATCTTGATGATGGCTTCCCAGATATCTACCTGTATGTTTCCATATAGTGTTCATGCTTGAGAAATTGGCCAATTTGTTTGTGAAATTAGGTTTTGTTATTTTTGTTCTGTTTTGTTTTGTTTGTTCTGTTTTTCAGTTGTTACCAAAGCACACGCTGTCTGTTTAAATACATCTTTGAGAAACAGTGATGGAGAAATGTCTTACCCTCTTTGCAGTGCTCGGCGTAGTCTGGGCAGCATTTTCCGTACCGCTCGCAGTCGGCATCGCAGTCGCACTCCCTTCCCCTCTCGAAGGCTTCGAAGCAGCGTCCTGCACAGGAGGCGGCTGTGGAGGCAGAGCAGCGCAGTCAGGCTTTGGGCCAGCTCATGTGCAACGCTGGGACCTCTCTACAGTGAAGTCGTTGGCTCGAGCTGGTGCCAAGAACAGCTCCATAAAATCAGGCACTTATCCTGGTCCGATCCAGGATTTGTCTGCAAAGTGGGGTTTGGATCAGGCAGTGCCACCAGAAGGGCACTGTGCCATGGCAGTGACCACTGGATTGACAGTGCAATAAAACGTGACTGCCGCGTTCACTTTAGCCAGGTCCCACCGTAGGAGGGTTCCGCTTCCCCAACCACAGGGCGGTGATCTCAACAGTGATATTTAAATTCTGGGCTGGGTTTGCAAGAAGGTTCACCAAGGTACCCCTCTGCAACAAGAATGATGTGTCTACCAAAGTGTTTCTGAAAAATAATTGGCCTTTTGCTTACAACCAATTAGGAGTGTACCTGGTGTGTCCAGGCAAAAACTGCAACCTAATTGTGTGAACAGGTTAACCAAGTTACTTCAAGAGACCACTTTGGAACTTTTTAATACAGTTCTTAAAGAATTAGTACGAAAGGACTATATACCATGTTTTGACATGATTAATAACCACAAGATTTTAATATTTCATGTTTGGTTAACTTCTGAAACTTCACTGACTAAGCTGCTATTTCATATCAAATAATGACCATTTTGTTTAGAAAGAGTCTACAGAGCAATTAAGATTCAAAAAAAGCATTTTCTCTACGTATGTCTCTATTGAAGTAATTGTCTCTGTGGCACACAAGGCATAGAATCATGTTTTACAGTTAAATCACTATCTAGAAAAATTAGGATTACTGTATAGGCAGTTTCTGAACATCTTTGGATTAGTGTAGTTTTGGATTAAGTGTCAATGTCAGTGGATCTATCCCACATGAACAGGTGAGAATTATTTTTATTATCTTAGGGAAATTTTTATGCATAGATAATGTCTGGAATTTCTGTCTTTTAGTCAGTGTAGATTCCACACTAACTGGTTCTGAGAAGTATTTGTTAATCCTGTAATCCTACTGGAACCACGGTGTAGCGTAACAAACTACTGTTACCCAAATCACTGACATTTCTACATCGGTGATTCCTAAGAAAATGCTTTTAATGCTCAGTCAAGCAATTTGAAAAACCTGATTTTATTTACATTATCCAGTTTTGCCTATAAATAAAGCATAAAACAATACTACTCTAACCACCTTTTCCAGCAGCCTCTGGACATGGTTCTGATCCAAAGTCAATTTCTGTCCAGGACACCCTGGCTTTGGATTAGATCCCACAGCATCCACACTTCTTAAATTTGAGTTGGAATATGTAATAATTTCTTTCTGCAAAACCCTGAATTTGATTTTACCACTTTTTTTTTCTTTGTATAAGAGACATATACATACTGTACAAATGCACTAAGGAGTAGAAAACAAACAGTAAACTGTTTTTGCCCATCTTGCCTAGTTCTGCTTTTGTAAAAGGCAAAATTCTTAGCTTGGAAATAACCTGTGGATACACAATTTTCTTTGGATTGCAAGAGGTTATCCTGAATATTTGAGGAGAACAACAATACATGTATGAGAGGGAACAAGGACACAGCAAACCAACAGACATTTAAGCATTCAGAGAGGAGACACTGGTGTGGTAGGGAGCTGGGAGGGGAATTTTGAGGAGAAGAACTGGCTATGTTTGGGAACTTACCCACTGTGCAGACTTTCCTGAAGTCAGGGCAGCACTCCATGTAGTGGTGACAGTTAAAATCACACTGGCAGTCATGCTCTCTAGAATACCCTGCCCCACATCTCCCTGTACAGCTCGATACATCTAAAATCACACAACACTGGTGTAAGCGTTGCCCAGCCACAACAGTCCTTAAGGAAATGCTGAATGGAAAAGGACTAAAGTTTCTCTCTTTTCCCCCACAGAATGTGGTTTCTTCACTCAATACTGCAAAAGCTGAGGGCCTGGTGTGACCCCTCCTGAAGGTGTGGAAAGCAGAGGTTTGCTCTGAGCCAGCCTGAGGACCAGCAGCAGCATTGTGTTCAGGTTAGAAAGATCTTCCACTGAGCCAACTTACTCATTTTTTCTGAAAACTCTTGAGGGTTGTTTCTGTAGTATGATCACAGGCTTCCAAACTAGCCCCTTAGAGAGTATATCAGCTTTGCTGATTTATTCTCCAATTTGATTCACCCTCTGTATGATAATAGGTGTGTATCTGCACACCCATACCTGACAGACCCCCTAGGTGTCTGATTTTTACTGTTGGTAATGCTGTTCCTAATAACCCATCTAATCAGGTTAGCTTGCAAACTAGAGAGCACTGTCATTATAAATACAGGTCCCTGAAGCCATTTTTATTGGAAGTTTCAAAATCTGCCTACTCCCTACATTATATTTTTTCCCTGATGTCAGGGAAGAATTTGGTATCAGCTCTAAGGTTAAGAATGGTTGGGATCTAGCCTTGTAACTGCTATGAAGTACATTTTGTTAATTATAGATTGTGTACTAGCAGACTAACAGAAAAGCTCATCCCATAGTGGCTTTACTGCCAGACTGCTGGGAAATGCTGGATAACAGGAAATGGTGCAAATAACAGGTGGCAAAACAAGACATGTGGAGGTGTCTTGCTTTAACCTGTGAGCATTCCAGCTCAGCAGTGCCTTGCTACCTTCTGCTGCCAAACCAGATATTCACCCTGCAACCCTCTCCTTCCTCTGTGAAATCTCTGCTAACACAACCAGCTAACAGCTTCTTCTGGAAATGAAACATGCAGGACCACAAGTGAAGCATCCCTAAATACAAATAAAGAAGCTGAACAATCAGCAAGCCCAAACAGATAATCAGCTGAAACACTGAGGAACAACAAGGAAATAACATGTAACACAACACAACACCAAAGACAATTTCTAACAGAACACACTCCACGTGTGTGTGTCTGAAGCAATAGCATGGGATAACAAATACTATATCTATTGTATATACTGTGATTTACAGCCAGTACTTGTAATGCTTGTTACCACTTTGCCAAAAATAGAAAAGTAGAACCAAGGGATAACTGGAGACATTAATAGACTTGAGTTACTGGGGTATTAATACAGCAGTTGAAAAGACAAAATGGACATCTTCCTTAATGGATATATGCCCAATATATTGAACCTTTCTTCCTTTATGGAAAGAAAGTAAGTCCAATAGTTATATGGTTAATATGTAGTAGTTCAATAGTTGCACCTCTTCACTCATTCATTTCTTTTAAGTTTATGACTTGTAAGTTACAGAGTTACTTGTAAGGAAAATGCCTGAATGGTCATGATTGCTGTTGGCAAAAGTCTTGATTTTTGCTGAGACTGGTGGGAAGGTATCAGCTATCAAGGGGTCAGTGTAAGGTCACATCTGGCATGAGGCACGCCCTGAGGAGCTGCTCAGATACCTGACATTGTGCCTTTTGCTATCAAGTAGTAATAAATCATTTTCTACCAGCAATACCCAGTGGTATTATCCCCCTGAAAATTTGAGAGCTGTCAGAGAGCTGCAACAGCACAGGATTTGCCAGGCGGCATGTTCTGCTTCACCATAACAGTGTTACTTTAGCGAGGAATCAGTTATAGAGCTTGGAGTATCATTAGACAAATAATTCCCCAAATTTGCCTCAGTGGGGTAAAAATGGTGAATTTAATGGGAAAGCACTTAGCAAGGTAGAGATGTTCCTTTCCCTGAGCTTATTGGAATACTTCTAGCCAACCTTTGTAAATATCGTCATGTTAGATTCTTTCTAAATCAAACTGCAAATCACTAGGGCTAAATACATCACTATGAGGGCAAGAGACTCTGTAGGCTGTCTAAAGAAAAAGTTATAGGTTCATACACATTTTGCATTACATTTATATTTTTATGTTATTCCTCAAAAAAAGAGGACCATGCTACACTAAAATTTATTTATGAAAATATTCAGTGATGATAAAACTGAATCATATTTTCTATGTGAATAAAGTTCTAGAACTTAGTATTTTTATGAAGGTGCATTTGAAATATTCTAAATGTGTGTCGGGCACATACTCCTAGACACCCTCCCTTCAGCTTTGTGTGTTACAGTACCTTGAGAAGACACTTCTGGAATCAAGGACAGTGAAAGGACCACCAGGGATAAGCAAAGTATGTTCCATGTAATCATAACTTTCAGGTACGACATCATTCCTAAAAAGAAATAATCTCACATCACTATCTGCGATTCCGTTAATTCATAATTTTAGAAATGCCGTGCATATCTTTGTTTATAAGACTAGTTTGATAAAAACATAAAATTAATAATAAAATTGTTCAAGGAAAAATTGCTAATTTAGAATTACTCCATAAATTCCTTCTTGGTTATTAGTCAATTAGCTATTAAATTCTGTAGTAAGACTATAGAAATTCATTATTAACAAGTAATAGAAATAAATTTTTGCAGAATTCTATTACATGAAGTCTACAGTCACAGTCGTCTTAGAATATGGGTACGCTTCAGCACAACAACGTTTAAAGTTATAATACTGATAAATGAAAATCTATAATAAAACCAAGTACTGACAGAACATTAGTTATTCAGCAATATAATTTTATAAGCAATTTCCTAACACTGAAATATGTCAAATGGAAACATAGGCTAAAAGTAAATCTTTTTTCAAAAGGAAAACTTTGGATTTTCTGTCCCAGTTACTTTTTCTCCTACTGAAGAAGAGCTCTGGGTACAGACAGGTGTAGCACTTACCTAGCAGAGAGTGTGTCTGCTCCTAGGGCTGTTCCAGAGCCCTTATATATTGCTTTGGAACTGTGCTGGGGTCAGGTAATTAGGCAGCTTGTTAAACACACCACCAATGACAGCTCATGACAGCAAACTTTCCACAGGGCTTGGAAGAGGGCCCAGATGACTAGACTAACACAACATCTGGAAAATACTCCCATTAAGAAAAACGATTACAGAAAAACTAAATAGGGACCTACTAGTCAAAACACATTTTGATTACTGAGAGAGATGAACAAATTGTCCTCAATGCAGCTGGAAGGCATTAAAGAGTATTGCAGAGCAATAAAAAATCATCACAGGCAAATGCTGAGTGTATTTTCTCTCCTGTCAAATGGAGCTTAGGTGACAGTAGCCTGAAATTATGCAGTTTTATCTGCTACTGATGGTGTATCTTCTCCAAAACGTTGTGAGAGCTAATTCATACAGACATAAGTAATTCACCACTTGCTCTGAGTATTTTGTACTCTCCCCTGAACAAATGGAAATGCTGCCAAGGTATTGGCTAGAAATCAAAGAATTGAGTCAAATCTCAAAGTTATTGAACATATGATATGCAAGACATCAAAAATGAATGAAAGAGGCATTAATTGTTTTAATGGTCTTTGTGTTCACTGGTTCCAGACTCAGGATAGTGGAAATGGTCATTTGTAGCTCTCAGAGACAGAGGAGGTTTTAACTGAAACTTTTACAGTCCTGACTGTTGGTGCTTAGGAGGGATGTTTTTATTCAGAAATTATTCTAAAGGCCAGGGAACTTTAATACTTCTCCTTTATGATATTACTTGAGTCCCAGAGTAGTTCTGTTTACCCCAAAAATAAATATGGTACAGTACACATTGATCCCAGTTGAGGAAAGGACTTCAAATGAGAATGAGTCTCTTAAGGAGAATAATGCAGAACAGGAGTGGGTTTAAACATGTGTTTGAATGCTTCCCTCACTTGGTTCATTGACTGTACAGTCATTTAGTAATTTTATTCTATAAGTTCTAATTTCTCTGTTATCACAATAGCGAGATTTCCATTCAGTCTTTCTGCATTGTGTGCAGAAGGAGTAACTATTTATTTCAATTAAATGGAGTAACTATTATTTTGTGGAAAAGGGGAGACTGAGTTTTTATGGAGTTTATTCAAGGTTGTAGAAAAAGAAATGTATATTACATGTCTTACAATAAGAGTTTCAGGCTATCTTTAGTGGACTATAAGCTTGATGAAGAAACCCTGGCTTTGGGTAGAATGGTGCCTGTCTATGATTATTTGAAGCCTAGGGAAGAAGTATTTCTTAGTGTAGCCAAATAGGATCAACAAGATGAGAAGTTTCCTAGAAAAGTATTGAAACACTTATAACTTAATTAATTTATAATTTGATCAAACAAAACATTTAAGACTGAATTAATGAGTGTATCCTTACTTTGAGATCCATGACATGGAGGAGATTTGTTGTCTTTTCCATCAATTCACAACTGGTGCAGCTGTGAGTCCTATTTAATACTGGCTGGGTACCTGAGGTGAATATATATATGTGTGTTTGTGTGTATGACTCAATTAAAAAAAAAAAAAACCAAAAAACAGAAGATCAAAATTATTATCATTTTTTTGTTAACATGCCAGGGCTCAATTGAGTCATACAGTTAGGTACATGCACACTTGAAATACAGATAGTTGTGACTGGCTGCTACATTGTGTTATGGATGTTCCCTTTGGTAGGATTGTATTTTTCATTTCTCTTCTGAATTGAACTTTTGGGTTGTTAGAGATCGCATGGAGATACACATTTTGAGTGAAAAGAATTTCATAAGTGGATCAACAGGCTGTGAGGAGCATTTAAGACACCTTTAAATTGTAGTGTCACTGTGGCATTGAGATGAGTGGTCAGGCAACACTCAGGTGGGGGCTGATCCTGACCAGCTTTTGCTGGTTTTCCCTTTGTTTTTAGGCATGGATTTTGAAATCCTGCTTTAAATTACTGTTATGGAATCTCATAGATGGCAAGAAATGCATTCAGGGTACACGTGCTGGGCAGAGTGTGCTCCTGCTTCTGTGCCCAGGTTGGAGTGCCAGGGAGAGGGGCCCAGAGAGGAGTGGGAAGCTGCATGGGCAGGGGAGGGAGAGCTCCATCAGATATAACAGAGGGAAAGTACAAAATGTTCAATTTCCTTCTTTTGATTTCAGCTGCCTCAAGGGAAACAAGACTCATTACATTCCTGATGAGTAAATAAGGATACATGGCTTCACCAGCATTTTAATTTGTCTTAAAGCAGCACATGGGACCTAATACTGTGGTTAGTCACTCCAATCAAAAAGAGAGAACCTTATTTTTTATCTGATTTTTATTGCTTCACTTAATATCAACTGGCCAGTCATTTAATTTGGCAAGGCTTTCAGGCAAATGTAAACCCTTCATCAAACCCTTGGCATGCATATCCACAATCTTATCGGTACTTCCAACTTCCCTAGTAGATTGCATTTTAGAAAAAAATTAGAGGTTAAAAAAAAAAAAAGCCTTTCCTTCCGAACCCTATTTTGCCTGTCTACTGCAGTGGTCCCAATTGCAGCACAATTGCTGTTATTTTTTATTTCTGGGTGAACAGATTCTTTATGCTGATGCCCATGACCTGGTGGTGCCTTTTCAGGCCTTGGCTTTTCCACAAGCTCATCAGTCAGTCACATTTATGATAGTGGTTTGGGGATGTGATCATATCCACTGGGATCAGATGGAAAATGTAAGTCAGTGAAATCCCAGACAACAGTTGTTGGGATGATCTGAGCCTGGCCTGACAGAAACCATTCTGTTTTTTCAGTTCAGTCACTGATGCCCTTTGCAAACCCATCAGGATCCTCAAAGCATCCTGTGACTTTCAGATGGGCACTGAGCTACCTTGGATGCTCTGAGTCTCTGCAAAGGCTCAGGAAGAGCTGCTGGGAAATCCCAGCAGAAGTGATACAGACAAACTGAGCTGAGCAAGAGGAAAGGGAAAAAGTATTTGGAGTAGAGTTGGCCTGTTAAATACTAACTGATTAGTGAACCCTTATTTCACATAAAAGGAATCATAGAAGGAATGTCATTGCAAGTTAAATGAGAATGCTGGAGATCCGGCTGAAGTTGCTAAGAAAAATTATCAAGAATCACAGAAAACTTTTGATCCTGCAGGAAGGACTGACAGGCTTTCAGGGTTGTAGTCTTGGGGGGCAAGGAAGGGGATGGTGTAGAGGAGGTAGAAGCCTTCATGTGGGAAGTGCATGGGATTACAATTATGGGACAACTGATAATTGATCAAAGGTGCTTCCTTTCTTGCCTTTTCCAGTGTCACTTTCTTCAGTGCACAATTGGCTACCTTTCACTGACATTTTTTTCTGATTGTGGGGAAAAAAAAAAAAGAGTTAATTTGAAAGAGCACCTCTGGCTTTTAAGAAAATAAATATTAACACCCTAGGTTTTCTGTGGTTTACGAGTAGCAGTAGTACTGCAATGAATTCTGCTGCACCACGGCTCAAAATGCTCACGTACATCATCCATCTGATGTAAGTACAGATTTATTGTATTTTCAATTCTGAAAAAGGTGAGAAAAAATTTAAAAGTAAGAAGTGGAGAGGAAAATATGACTTAGATATTATATTTGTTCCACAGGAATCTGAGGTAAGCCCATAATGATAGGTGGAAGACTGGTAGAATCTGCAGGTCTGTGTTATTTTTATAGTAATACCAATGTCAGTAGCAGAAATCTTTTTATTCCAGAAAAGCCTTTAAACTCATTATAGCTGCAGATATTATGGAATCTTGAAGAGCAGGAGGAGGAGAAGCAGATTTGCTGGCTGGTTGCATCCATGGATGGAATGGACTTCTGTGGAGCTTTGGTGTAAGAACATCACTTTATAGATGTCATGATATTTCTTAGTGGGTCCTCACAAGTTTCTCTAAAATAATTTTAAAGGTTTTTATCCCAAAGTTAGAGCATGGATTTATCTGAGCTAGCCTGGGATCTCATTTTATGTGGAATCTGTGCTGTGATTCATACAACAGGGCAGACTTAGTGGCAGAAAATTACTGGCTAAAATCTTTTGGGGAATGTCTGGAAGAACAGGACATTAAGTAAGAAATGTTCAACTTCGCTTTCTTTTCCCCTGCAATAATTATTTCTCTCTGAACCTGGGCATAGTGAAATGGTTATAGATTTAAATACAGATAGCAGATAAAACTGAGTTCTATTTCATTAAAAAAAAAAAAAGTCTCACAAAATGAAATATATTTCATATTGTTTTCATTTTTTTTATTCATATAGTGTATGGAGTAGTTCTACTGAATCATAGCTGCAATAAAACAAGAGATTTAACTATAGGAAGAAGAAAAAAGGTGTCAAACAACACTTCAAAGTGAAAAATGGCCCAGGATAAGAAGAATGAAGAAAGTTAACATGAGAAAGGTAAATCTAGGAGAGCAAGAAGTTATATATGTCTGCCTGTAATGTAGGAAATTATGTTTAGCAGTTAAACCAGAATTCTCAGTTCAACAGTAGGAGCTGAATTAGCACTGGCTCCTGGAAATCTTGGGAATGAAAGATGCAGAAATTCTTTCAGTTTAGTTATGTCATTACCCCTTCAGGACAGATGGTAGAGACTCCCAGAAACAGTCACCATTTTTCATATGGCTGACAAATAACACCCTCAGTTTGGCAAAAGAGCAGTGAAAAGGTGTCAGATGGGGTTTCTCAGACTTGGTATGAAGTCATTTTCTTGTAACATGACGAATCATCTTTCTTAGACATCATGCGCAAGCTACCATAAATAATTCTTTTAACACATTTTCAAGGCTTCACTTCTTATTTACTCATGCAAAAATAATCTGTTTGAATGTGTATATGCAAGGGGGAAATCTTCCTGGATCAGCATAATTGTACAGAAGAGTGACGAGCAGATTTTAATGTATACAGCTCTGAAAAGAGTTTTTTTTTTCTTTTTCGGAACTTTTCTGCTGTTGCTTGACTTCAGAGTGAGAACTGAATAGTAACTTCTGATGTACTTTCAGCAGGAATCTCTCAAAGGTCACATAGCAAGCTCGTGTACAAAAAATTCTCCTGGCACTATTGAATACTGTACATTAATGGTAGTGGAGAAAGCTTTGGTTAAAGCTGCCACAGGCTTGTGGAACCTGCTTTCTTTCTTACTGTAAACATTGTTTTACAGGAATCTGAATTATTCCTGTGAAATGTTCAGTACTTCTGTCTATTCAGGTTCTGTTTTTTAAAAGACACCTACAGTGAACAAGGGTTGCCTGGGTGTTTGGCAGAGTGAATTGTCCCAGCATGATAAATCCCCTTTTCTTTGGCAGAGGTAAAGGTATTTAAAACACGAAAAAATTTTAATTTCCCCTTCAGTTTCAATGACCTTTGAAATTGTTGTGTTCTTTTTTATATGCTTTCAACATGAACTCTGCAGCTAAAAAAAATCAGTTTTCTTCTCAGACCTCCTGCAAGAGTTGCACAAGCACAGCATGATTGCAGCAGCTCCAAGCAGGGCACTGAGGCTCAGCAGCTCTGAGTTTGTACTTCAAATATAACAGGAATTTTCTGTCTACAAATGAAACTATGGCAAATATGTAAATTATTCAGCAAGGCTGTATTATATCAGAGGTTGTGCAGTGTTGATCTTAAGCAGGAAATATCTGCAAAAAAGGCAAAATTCTTTACCTTAACTGATGAGGGAAAATAAAATTCAAAAAAATCCCAAGCTGCAGTTATTATCCAGATATATTTCTGATATTTCAAGAAATTTCTAGGCATTGGCTTCTGTTTGCCAGTGGGGTTAGAGCTGAGTATTAGGTTTTAGAAATCTAAAACTGAGAGCCCCTGTAATTACTTGTTCCTCAAGGGCACCAGCATGGGTGGTAGGAGCTTCCTTCTGGCAGGGAGTTCCTTACCTGTCCTAAACAGCCCTCCTTCCCAGCATGGGCTGCCAGCACGCACAGCTGTGGGGCTGGGGAAAAGAGCTAGTCCCATATCCTTCCTGAGGGGTGACTCTGCTGGAGGCTGGGGTCAAGGTCAAGCTTTGGAAAGATGAGCCTCTGTGGATTTTAAAAGCCAAAGGAGTTAAGAGGGCTGACAGCTTTTCTGTTTAAATGATTCATCCCCCTTCTAGACTTCAAATTAATTTTATGGTTTGAATTAAAGTTAGATTATAAGTCAGTGATTCAGCTTTGTGGTGTTCAGTTTTAGGGAGGTGCCTGGCATGGCCCTGCTGCTGTAGGGATTTACTGTAGGGATTGATCAATATACTGGTATTACTAAGCATTTATTTGGGCTCACAGCCAGGGCTTCTGGTGTTGGAGCTCTGGCATTAGGAGGTTAAAAGGAGGGCTGAGAGATGACAAAAGTCAGCCTTCTGCATTATCATAGGAAGTGATCTCCACAGTAAAATTCAATTTGGGGTTTTCATTATATTAAAATTTATGGCTAACATTCAGTATATGCTTAGTAATAGCATTTCAGTGTATTCATTAAAGTTCAATTTATATATTTCAGTTTTGGTCTAAATTTTCAGAGATATGTGTTTCACTTGCTTCACATGTTACTGTAGGGATTGCCCTAATTGTTGAGGTCAGCCTAAGGAGGTGGGCTGGAGTCAATATTTAGGCTTCTACAGCCCAAAAAAATGTCAGCAGACATGACCCACAGCCATGTATTTTACTTTTATAGAGGGACTAATTTCTGCTTATAAGGAAGATTGGATTTAACAATTCAGCATATCAATATGCACATTATCTGGGATTTGCAGAGATGGGATTAGAGTTAGGAGAAACCTAATCTGGTATTTAAGATCAGGGTTGGAGGATTTCAAATTAGGATTATGAAATTTGGAATCCTCTGTGGTATAGGTGTTTGGCTGTTGACATGTCTATGTTTCAATTGGGGATTGCCTTTGTGTTTAGAGTCTGAAGTCCCAGAACTGCTTTTCTGGTGTTCTTCACAGAGCTGTGATTTGTACTGAGGTCAATTTTTGGCTGCAAATATGTGATATTTAAATATGTAGTAATATTTTTTACTGCATAGATGGGTATGTTATAGTCTGATTTACCATTTAGGAATTACAGTGTCAGAAATCCATTTTATTGATTGCTGTTATTGGCATTACTTATGCTACCAGGGCTTAGACTAAACCCAACACAAACTGTAGCCTTAATAACAGCCAGGGAGCAAATCCTTGTAATGTTCTCAGAAAGAAAACAGAAGCATCTCTCCATCCCAGCTCACTCACCCCATATAGAAAATACTAGCATGATGCATGTCTAGAAGAATGTGGGCTATCAACTTCTGTGCTCTGGGATATGTTTAATACCAGTCAACAACAGGAAAAGACACTTTTCCCTTCCCCAAGGCACAGCATGGGAGTGCAGGTGCATCTGACAGGTTTTTGTAGCTTGATTGGCATCACTGTCAAGGGAAAAGGAGCACCAAAGTCTGGCAACAGTTTTCTGTATTTTCTGTAGTTGACACCTGAGAATGAGTGGTGTCACCAAACTGTTTCTGCCGCAGTGTTCTCTGTGCTGATGGCTCTTTAACTCAACATTTTTGAGGGACTTTGAGCTGTAATGAGGACTGAAAGGAAAATAAAATCTCTGCAGTAGGGAACTGAGCAGTTTGCATCCCTCTCTGATGGGCTGGACAGGTTTATAGATAATATCTGCCTGCAATAAAAGCCTAGTTTGAAGAATGACTATTTCCCTTGGCTGGACGGTGAAGATTCCCTTTCTAGCATAGACAGTGGGAAGGAACCTCTTTTTCTTTTTTTCTTTTTTTTTTTTTTTTTTTTTTTTTTTTTTTTTTCTCTTATCCCAGAAGTTTAGAACAGGATGTCAGATTCTGACATGAGGAGGGAGGTGCATTTGTAAAGCACATGCTAGGAAGAGGTGTTTAAGAGAAGTACCAGGTCGTCCTTGAAAGCTTCTCTTCTTCCAAAGGAAAAGGAAAGTGCTTTGCAGACCAAACAAGAAAAACTCCTTTCCCTCAGCACCTAACAGTCTTGTTTCAGTACATCATCAGAGATGTATCTGGAGGATGGGACTTTTTACAGGCAGCCTTCTTTTATTCACTTCAGAATGAGTCATATGTTTTTGTGACCAAAGCAGTTGGTTTGAAGATGAAAATAAGAATAATGCACCACCCTTAAGACAATTCTTTTCCTGAAAGATTGAGCTCAGGGTATTGGCAACATAACTGTGCTCAAAGTTAGTTTTCAGAAAATAAGAGAAAATCCTAGGGATGCTGGTAAAGAATATGGGTTGACATAACATATTCTTACAACAGAACATAATTTATCCTCTGTTTATGCATGCTGTACCTGAGAAACAAATATCATAAAGGCTCAATCAGACTGGAAAGAAAAGAATTTGCATAACTATGTTAATATAAAATAACTGCTGCTTAAAATTATGGCCTTCCAGAAATCTTGTCAGTAACAAAATGACATTGCTAATTGCTTCCTTTTCTGCTGAGGAGTGAAAACCTTGAGCGTGGGGTGGAGGTGCATGTGGCAAAATAGTGACAATTAACATTAGAGCCCCTGCTCTGCCCGTGCTTTAGTAAATGATTCAGCCCAATTCTTGCTGCTGTTCAATGCAGGACGTGAGAAATGAGCAGGATGGAGAGACACAATTTATGTGTCTCAGCATGCCAAAGCCAATCCCACAGGAGCTTAATGACTACACTGTGATGTCAAATAGCAGTGAAAATGAGCTCTCAGATGAATGTGGGGGCCTCATGAGAAGAACAGCCCAAAGAAAGATCCTACCCTGGCTCTTTCCTGGTACCTGATCGTGGGTTCTTGGTTGTCCCGAGTACACTGAAAGGAAAAGGGGCTGGAAAGGGAAAGCATCTTGCTCATCCTTTCATGCCAAGCTCAGTGGGAATTCAGATCTCTTGATGTTTTAATTAATATTATTTTCCTTAATTCTTCAAGAATAAAGCATACATTTCAACCAAGGATATGCTTCAAACTCACCAGTTCTCCTGCTGTTCAGGAGAACAGCAAGTCCTTCTAAGTGTTTAGGGTAATTCTCAGATTAAAATAATTTGATGTAACTGTGATACGAACACCACATTTTTCAAAATTATCCTTAGAATCAATAAAGTGGACAACTACTAGAGGAAGAACTACTAGAAAGGGTTTAAAGATGGAGAAATAAAGCAGTGGGACTGCAGGCTGTCTGTCAAATTCTAGGAAATTAATTTCAGAATGCCCAAAAAGATGCCGCTTTTATTTGCAGATAAAGAGTTCTGTGAAGACACTGTATCTTAATAAACCTGTTCTTGTGTGAAACTATGAGATGAGTTTAAACTAGAAAGATCTAAATTATAAATAGAGATAAGGTGCTTCTCCTTGTGTTTTAGGCATGTTTGACCTTTTTAGTTGGGTTAATGTGCTACAGAGT